CTCCCTGTCCCTGACTGTCCCAACCCCTCTCCACACCCCTGCCCCCCTGACAGCCCCCCCGAACTCCCGACCCATCCACCCCCCCGCTCCCTGTCCCCGACTGCCCCCCTTCTCCAACTCCCCAGCCCCCTTACCGTGCCGCTCAGCTTAGAGCAGGTGTCTGGCTCCACGCCCCAAGGAGCGCCCCGCCCCGCCCGAGCGCTGCCGAGCGGCGTGCTGAGGCTGTGGAGGAGGGGGGTAGCGAGGAAGGGGCTCTGGCCGCCGCTGCCAGTCCCGCCGCCGTGTTCCCTCACAGGTGCACAGCCCCCCAGCGCTGCCGGGCAGCGTGCAAAGGCTGCAGGGGATGGGGGCAGCCGGGAAGGGGGTTGGCTGCCGAGGCCCCAATGCGAGCGGCACTTGGCTGCCCTGTCAGCAGCTTTTCGGTCGATAAATAGCCGACCGGGGGGACATCCCGGACATTTTTAGAAATCCCCCCCGGATGGCTATTTAAAGAGCGAAAAGCCAGACATGTCCGGGGAAACCCGGACGTATGGTAGCCCTACTGTAGCAGACTCATTAATCTCTAAGTGGTCTCAGTGTCACTAGAGGGGACAGAACACCACACCCAGGAGATGTGTGGGTTACATACTTCCCTAGCTGAGGAAAGACGTCCTGAGCTTCAGAGACTTCCCAGCTGAAATCCCGGACGAGCCTCCACTTGTAACACCAACAGACCCCAGTCGTTGTCGTGTGGGATCAAACCTGGGACCTCAGTGCATGAGCCTCTACTGCATGAGCTAAAAGCCACATGGTTCTTAGCGAAGGTGGTAGCAGACTCATTAAGCTCTAAGTGGTCTCAGTGCCACTAGAGGGGGCAGAACACCACATCTAGGTGGTGTGAGGGTTCCATACCAACAACCATGAAGGGGCGTAACGCAGCCTTTCTGTAGGATTTGTTAAGATCGGGATTGTTTTCTCTCGAGGCAAAAATTTATGATAAACCTTAATATTACATATATCGCAGAGCTCTCTCTCTCTATATTTCCAATGGAGAACCATGCAATAAGAGAGAAGTTTTAAATGAAGGGCCAGGTGTTCAAGCACTTGGTTGTGCAAAATACAGAGGCGATAGCTAGACTAATTTGCACATGGGATTGCTTGTGCAAACTGGTAATTGCATTGCCAGCGGCTCAGCAGTGGCATTTGTGTGTGTATTTGTCCAGTTTCCATGCTCACTTGCGATAATTATGCATGCAAATTAAGTGAGTAGTTGCCATCCAAAATGTTTGTAAATCTGCCCCCTGGTGTCCACTGTGTGCCTCACCGTGCAGTGAATTGACATCTCAATAAGACAAACCCTGAGACACTACTCTAATGGGTGCCATATAAGAGCCTAAAGTACAGAGCTGGAGAACGAGTTGAAAGCAGATTTATGGAGATTTAGCAACAGAGTCACCTGCTCCCCCTGTGTCCTCTGCAAATGGCATTTGCAAAAGACTCATTTTATTTGTAAATTGCAATGCTGGGGCTCAGTTCTGCTCTCAGTCGCTCCGGTGTAAACTGGAGGAGTTCCACTGGGGTGAGTTGGGTGACACGTGGGAACTTCGTCTACTGCCTCATTACAGCTGGACCAGTGCCCTACCTGCTGGTGCAGTAATGCTGAGCTGCAGCCCGATGCATGGCTGCTCTTGCTGGATATATGCAAAGAGAGAAGTTGGCATAGCACATGGCTGATGTGAGCTGATGGCGAGGCAGAGCCTGACGTGTGGGTGCTGTTGTGGATATGGGGGTTTACTCCCTGTAAGGAGCTTGACTTACCCCTGCGGCGCCTCCTGCTGGTTGTCTCAGGGAATTAGCTCTCCCAGCATCCGGAGCGCCCTCTGCAGGCCGGTGATCCGCCTTACCTGTGGCCCCATGTCCCTCCCAGGACCCTGGTGCCCCCTTTACCTGGGGTGCTGCCCCCCTGGCAGTAACCCCTCACAGCCTCAGGGTCTCCCCCTTCCAGGGGAACCCCCACCCACTATCCCCACTTCGCCTCAGTGTTCGGCTACTGCCAGTCCCCATCTAGCCCCCGCTCACTGGGGCGGACTGCAGCGTACGCCACTCATCATAGGCAAAGGGGGTTTTGGACCTGCTGCCTCTGCCTACCCATGGGCTGCCCCCTGCAACCCAATACCTAATGGGCCTTACCAGGCCTGCAGCCTGGGGCTTTCCTAGGCCGGAGCTACCCGGCTCCCTAGGCCTTTCTCCAGCCCTGCTCCACTCTAGGGTCCCTTCTTGGCACCTTGCAGCCAGGCCCTTCTCCCTCTACAGGCAGAGGAGACTGCCTGGGCCTCTGGCTCACCGCCTTTTATAGGGGCCAGCTGGGCCAGATTGGGGCATGGCCCCGGCTGAGCCTACTTTCCCCCAATCAGCCCAGGCTTCTTGCCCCAGCCCCAGCCACAGCCCTCTCCTGGGCTGTCTCTAGTCCCGCAGGGCAGGAGCGGGTAACCACCCCGCTACACTCCCCATCAGCGTTTATCCCAATCTTCTATTTCATTTTTTTCCCCAGGACATGACGTCTAACCCTCGGCAGGAGCTGAAGTTCATGGTTAAAGAGACCGTGTGCCCGGTGTCAGAGAACCTCAACGGGACCGAATGTGACTTCAGAGACAATGGGGTAAGCCATAACCGTCTCTGGAGACAGCTCCACAGGCTCTGTCTCCTGTTTCGTTTAACACCCAGCTGCCGTGGTCCCTGATCAGCGCTACCTAACCCCCAGGGATAGCAGGCGTAGAACGTTCATTGCCATGGCCCTTTGCATGGCGACAGAGCTGAAATAAAGGGGGCTAGTCATGGGAGTAAACCCTACTTAGGAGGAGTAAGAGATGCGGCGCCAGACCCAAGCCCTCTTGCTGGAACTGACTATCCGGAAGGGGGGTGAATTCATTTGACAAGTGTGAGCAGACGTTCACAGGCTGATTTGCCGTTATTGCCCAGCAGGGAAGGCTGCTGCTGGGGGGAAGCGTTCTTAGAGAAATGGTTGGAGGTGGGCTCTGACCCACAGTGTATGTCTGTCTTTTGCCCATAATGGTTTGCAGCTTGTGGTCCAGCACTGCTCAGGAAGCAGCAACGGCCTATTCAGCCTTCTGCCTAGCCCAGAAGTTGCAACTTTTCCTCTCTACCGTGGTCCTCACCAGGGTCATCCAGCTGGAATCACCTCCAGGCTAGACTCTTGTAATCTGCTCTACTTAGGGCTGTATTTGCAGACCACCAAGGGCTTTAACTAGCAGGGATGCAGCTGGTGGATAAAGTGGCCATCCCAATCTCTCCCTCTCATACCCGCCACACCACCTGTGGCACTACTTGTCACCATGACCTAGGGTGAGGACTTCAGCCCATTTTCCCCACAGCCAGATTTGTGCCCACACCTCCAGAGGCGGCTCACACACCGCCCTTCCTCCCACGGCACTCAGAAACTGAGCTGAGATCTTCCTCCTCACAGGTGGTCAGAGACTGTTCAGGGTTCTTCTCCACCCAGCAGGAGTCGCCCATAGTCATCATCAACTGCAACACTGTGACCCAGGAGGTAGGTCTTGCACTCTGGTGACATCATCTTCCAAGTGGGGGCTGGGCTGGTGACGGGGCAGGGAGGGTGTCTTCCCCATCGGTTCCCTGCGGGGGATTTGAGACTGTGAGGATAGCACAGCGATGGGTGTCTAGCTGCATCCGGTAGGGGCATAGCCACTAGAGACCCCCCCCCTTGGGCTGGCAGCTGAATCCCACAGATCCCATCTGCCATGCAAACACCTCACTGGGATATAGGAAGCGTCCAAACCTCGATGTCGTCTCCACCTGGGATCAACAGATGGCCAGGTGGAGAGGGGGATGCCCTCTCTGTGGCTACGATTTAGTCCCATTTAGGAGGTTTATGGGTAACCGATGCAGCAGGAGCCTTTCCTAAGCCCATACAACAGATATTTCCCCCCCCCCCGATGTAGCAAGGACCTTCCGCCCTGCCCAGAGAGCCGCCATGGACAGAAGTGGGAGGTGGTGCTCTTTCTCCCATGAAAGCTTTGTCCCAGAGCTCTGGCTCTCCAGCAAGGGAGTTCCAGGCCCTCCCAGACAGGCCCCATCGTGCAGTGTCAGCCTTCAGCCAGGAAGAGAGAAGCAACAGTCTCTCCCTGGGGGGACCCACGGGCTGCAGCTGCTTCCCCCTCCTCCCAGGGCACCCAGTGATAGCATCCCCTCCACTAAGCGCCCAGCTGCTGGCCATGGAGCAGGCGACCAAGCTGGGCCTCCTGGCTCAGACCTCCCCAACACAGGGCAGTGCAGAGAACATAGCAATGGGCTGTTGAAGGAAGCCACCTCCTCCCCCTTCCCAAGCAAATCCAGAGTGGCAGATAGTGATGCAGAGCCGGTATCGGTCTCCCTGGAAATACTCGTGTGCTCCTTTCCCTCCAGGATACTCACATCAGGAGGTCCAGGAGCCCAAGACGTAACCGGCGGCTTCGTCGCTGGCACCTGCCTGGCTCCTACTCACTCATCGCCCATGGCGGAGGCAAAGGCAAAGGCAAAGGCAGTAGATTACAAGTGGCCTGATGGGAAGAGGCCTGGGCATCCACACGGCAGCTTCGGCGACTCCTGCTTTGTTGCAACCCTTGTTGCTTTGTTCCTTCCGTTTCTGTTCTCAGTTTACTCCTGACACCATGTCATGTTCTTCTGCACCAGATGTGGACTGGCTACCGAGCTTCCTTATACCCACCACATGTGTTCATCATAAGACCCTTCAATGCTTTGCCGGGTGGTATTTGACCCACAGGTGTGGCTACAAGGTATTAAATAAAATATTTGACACACAGACCCCCCCCAGTGGCTTGACAGTACAATACAATTTAGCATCCTATTACAGTTCCAGCCTCCTTGTAGCTTCTGAATGGCTTGTAAGTGACTCAGATATAGGGTTACCATATTTCAGCAAGCAAAAAAGAGGACGGGAGGAGCCCCGCCCCCGCCCCCGTCCTGCCCTAGCCCTGCCCCTCCCACTTCCCGCCCCCCTCAGAACCCCCAACCCTACCCCCCCGCTCCTTGTCCCCTGACTGCCCCCTCCTGGGACCCCTGCCCCTAACTGCCCCCCAGGACTCCACCCCCTACCTAAGCCTCCCTGCCTCTTGTCCCCTGACTGCCCCCTCCTGAGACCCTCCCCCCATCCTAACTGGCCCCCTAGGACCCTACCCCCTACCTGTACCCTGACTGCTCCAACCCTTATCCACACCCCCACCCCCAGACAGACCCCTGGGACTCCCACGCCCCATCCAACCACTCCCCACCCCCTGACAGCCCCCCCCAG